ACAGGTGGGTGGCACTGGTAGGCACAGGTGGGTGGGCACAGGTGGGTGGCACTGCTGGGCACAGGTAGGTGGCACTTCTAGGCACAGGTGTGTGACACTGCAGAGTGGCACAGGTGGGTGCATTGCTGGGCACAGGTGGGTGATCTGCTGGGCACAGGTGGGCGGAGCTAGTGGGCGCACTGCTGGGCACAGGTGGGCGGAACTTGTGGGTGGCACTGCTGGGCACCGATCATCAGGGCACTGATCATCAGTGCCCTGATGATCGGTGCTGATCCTCGCTCTGGACAACTGCCGGTTCTCGGCAGTACTTTGCTCACGATCTGACAGCGTGAGGAAAGTGCAGCCGAGAACCGGCAATTGCATTTCCCTGTGATCAGCGTGTCATTGGACACCGCTGATCACGTGGTAAAAGGCCGCTGTGATTGGCCTTTTACCACATCACGTGATCAGCTGTGCCCGTAGGACACAGCGATCACGGAGATCGCCGGGTGCACGCCCCCTGGGGCGCGCAGGAGAGCGCGTTCTGGGAGGACGTCATATGACATCCACCCAGAACTGGCCGGCCGCAGTGCAGCCGTCATTCGGCTATCTGCGGTCGGCAACTAGTTAAGGACAAGGTCAATTTAATCCCCAATTATTTTAATTATCTTTCCCTCCATGAGAAAGGAAATTCTCTTTTGTAAAAAAAAAAAAAAAAAAATTTCCGTTATCGGGACTTTAATAATTATGATTCTATTGGGTTAAATTTTAGATTTGACATCTCTCCATAATATTTCATTAGATTAGTAATGTCAACCTAGGGTTAGCCACATAGAACACCATATCATCCGCGTACGCTGCCACTTTGTGTTCTATCTCCCCTATCCGGACCCCTTTTATATCTACACTGTTTCTTACTGTTGCTAAAAGGGGTTCTAAGGATAGGACAAAAAACATAGGCGAAAGCGGACACCCTTGTCTTGTACCATTATACATCCTAAAAAACTCTGATTGTGAGCCTTTGACCTTTACTGCAGCTGAGGGTTGGCTATAGAGCTTTCCTGTCCACGCTCTCTTGTTGGGTCCAATTCCCAGGATCTCCAACGTGTCTAACATAAAGCCCCAGTCTACCCTATCAAAAGCCTTCTCTGCATCAATTGACAGGACCAGTACAGGGGGTTTTCTCTCTCACTTTTCTGTATAAGGAAAACCTTAAACCATTGTCTCTTCCCTCCCTCCCAGGGACAAATCCCACTTGATCCAGATGAATCCACTCTGGCATTAGATCTTTCACCCTAGTTGTTAGGACCTTTGCAAACCGTTAGTATCTGTATTTAACAGTGAGATAGGCAGACAACTAGCACTTTGGGTCCCATCTTTTCCTTTTTTTTTTTTTTTGTATGAGTGTAATATATGCTTGCAATGACTCCTCCCTTATCTCCATCCCTTCTCCAAATGCATTCATATATATACCCTCAATTTAGGGATTATTTGTTCTTGAAATGTAACCCCCTCATTTTGAGGACTGTTTGCCAGCTATCGCTTTCTATACCTCTGTTCTCTTCTACCCCCTTCTCCCATCCTGGGATATCTACATGCTGTAATTCAAGTCTCTCGCCAAAGTCTCTCAAATCTTCCAGAAATATATCAGCAAAAATCTGTAAATTTGCTTCACCAAATTTCATTACTGGTTTTCTCTTAGTCTTCTTCCATAATTTCACTTTTTCTTTGGGTTTCCATTTCCTCTTTCCTGAGCTCTTCCTATTCTGTACACTGTCAGTTTTCAGATGCTCTGTTCCTGGTCTATCCGTTATTAAATTAAACATTTTCACTATAGTCTCCATCAAATCCTCTTCTTCTGAGATCTCAAGTAGCCCCTTGTGTCCTCAGAATACATCTTCTATCTCTATTCTCCTGATCTTCCAATTTTATATAGCAGGCTCCTTTGCTCCTTTCTCATCTTCCATCTATTTTTTTTAACTTTGTTATTGTTTTGGGAGGAGCCAGCTGGCGTCTTGGCTTCCCCCTACTCCTCCACAGTAGCCATGTGACCACCCGGCATCCACCGCTCCAGTCTCCAGCGGGGTCCGCCTTCCTTCCAGGCGGCCGCCTCCTCTCTCTCCGACCTCCTGCTGCAGCTCCTTCGCCCGTCTTTGCTAGCCCTCTGCGCAGGGGCCCGTTCCACAGCAAGGCACCCAAGCAACCGTGGCCCCAAGCCCCAAGTAAGTTAAAGCCTCTCAGGCATTCATGTATTGAGGGTCCCAGGAGAGCGCCAGCTATCCGGGAGCTCTCACATTGAGCTCCCAGTCTGCGCCATGTTCAGGCTCCTTCCTTCTTGTCAGAACTTTAGATGTTATCACTAATTCTGTCCTCTGCAAACGCTAGGTGCATTTATACGTATTACACACTGAACGTGCTGGTGATGTTTTTTTTTTTTTCTTCCTCTAAATGCTCCTCTTCTAATATTCCTGTAAATGCTACATGTGTGCAAGGAAGCATAGGCTAACATGGAGGGGTATTTATCGACAGAAAAAAAAAAAAAAGCTCCTGGGGGGGTTGTAGTGAACTGCTAAGGGGGTGGGGGGGTGGGGAGAGAATTAAAGAGTGCCATATTTATAGCTTGGAGGGAGTGGGTGGGGTGCTGTATTGGTTAAGAGTTGTATATATGTCCGCTGTGGGGTTCTATATACAGTATATCATATATGGATTTCGTGCCCATGGGGGGGAGGGGGTAAGGACTAAAGAGAACTATATATATATATTTGAGAGAGAGAGAGAATGAATACGTTAGAGATGCATTGTTGCTGGACCATAATACTTCTGGAGATGGCATCTAGATTTTTCAAGTCAAGCAGGGACTTTTAATTTATAAGATGTCAGACAACAGTGTTAGTATGTGCATGGAACAGCATGTGGTTGCTTAGCCACTTGACTGGTGTTTCAAAGATGGCCGTACATCCGTCAGTGACTATCCTGGCCGTGGTGGTTCCCAGCCCACAGCAGTCATTCCTGTGAACAATTAGCTCGTGGAATGCCTGATCCTAGACAATTGACACATAACCTGTCATGAAATTGCACAAGAGACTAATCTTTCTGTGGGAACGGTGACCACAATGATGACAAAGTGAAGCAGGCTGTCCTAGAATGGTTCAGGCGTGTTGTCAAATCTTTATATGCCGTAGCTTTCCAGGCATTAGTTAAACGCTGGGATAAGTGTATAAATGTAGCAGGGAAGTACGGTGAAATTTGTTCTTCTATTATATGAACTCAATAGTCTCGGTTTAACTTAAACGCCCCTCGTATAATACTTTTGGAGCTGGTATCTAGGTTTTGGGAACATCTGTGGAGGCCTGCAGTATATGGTTTGTTTGATATGCTGGAAATGAAGGACTTATCACATGGAGTGTGGTGTATCAGTAGCAGCTGTTAAACATACATTTCCTCATTCTAGAAATGCTTTTGATTATGTAATTTTGCAGATGTGCTCTGAATAACCCTTGTGAATTAAAGAAAAATGCGTGTCTAATGGAAAAGTAGACTACTGGTTAAATGTAGGAGCTGTTAAAATCGCTAAATGCAGTCAACATTATTAGAAGCATTCCCTACAGTGGGTCAGCGGTTAATATAAGTACATTCCAGGCCTTGACATCGAAAACATTTTATGGCCTCATGTCTAAAGTGTTCCACGGAAGAACAACCTACATTTCCTCCTTGTAACTTAAGTATTCATCTTCTGTTGCTAGGGCATGTTACAAAATGCAAAGACGACTGATTGGTTCCTAGGTAAGCAAATATTGTTTTTGGGAGACACATGTCCTAGTGGCCTACCTTGTCCATTCCTCCAGAAGAGAGCATATTTCATCATAAATGCAGAGTTCAGACTTGCTCAGCTCTAACCTGCTGTAGAGATGGATTGGCCACACACAGGTCCCATGTTTTTTTTTTTTTATTTTTTTGGTTTTTGTCTGGTAATCTTTAGTTGTCAGAAACACAAAGCAATTTGGGTATATTTTTTACAGCTGGCTGTTGTATTTCTTTAGTCACATTACATTTATATGGCAGCCAATTTAGATGCAAGTATAGTTTTAAAAGAAAAAAAACCAAAAACATTCATACTCGTCTCACACCGATGTCGCAGCTGTCCCACTTCGGCTCTTAAGACAAGAAGGGAGTGATCACACGACCACTGACTGCTCAGTTCTCAGTCTGTTTAGAATGGAGAGCTGTGACTGTCAGTCACCACTCTCCACTTTTCTCCTCCGGCGCTCACTAGAGCACCAGGCCAGGGAGGGGGCGAGTGAGGCTAGCTCTGACTCCAAGCTACATGTTGAGAGGTGGAGCCAGCTGTCAATCAGGCAGCTAGGTAGATCTTGACAATGTTGCCGGGATCTTTCCAGAGTCTGGAGCAACTCTGTTGTGTCTGCTTATAGTGGGCAGTGGTCTGCTATAATCAGACTCTGGATCACTGGAAAACTCTTGTGACCCACAAGAGAAGTATAGCCAAAACGCTTTGACCATACTTCCATTTTTAATGGGGAACTACAGTACTGTGCTAACCTGCAAGTGAAATGTTTCTAATACCCACCAAACAACCAAGCCAGGCTTAGTTCATTACTAGTTGGGGGGGAATTGTCATTATCCAGTAACTTTTGTACTGGCTTAGCTGCTGATTGGTTAGTTTTGGCAGAGCCAGCCAATTTGAAGCAAAAATGCAGTGCAGGCAGCAAAGATCACATTTTATTTGCCATGTAGAAGGTAACACCTATGGGCTACAACTGGAGCACAGCAGACACTAGACAGTTGGCTAGGTAGGCTCTGCAGTAACTTGATTGATTCTCTCTGCTTCAATCCCCCACCTGTATTTCTATAAACAGTGATTATTTGAGGATTTTTTTAGTACTTATATCTTTTATGAATAAACACTACCTGATGAGCTGTATCCTGTAACTGACCTGATGTTGTTTTTAATAAAAGTATGTCTCCTGACAATATAATATATAATTTTTTTTTCTCTTGTTTAGCCACGAGCAATTAGTGTAGATCTGCAGCCTGATGCAACTCTGCAGGTTGATATATCTGATGCCCTAAGTGAGCGAGACAAAGTAAAATTCACTGTGCACACAAAGGTAAGTCCTCCCCAATTCTTATAGTGTGTTATTAGGCATCATGTTATCAGTTGGTCCATGTATGGGTTTTGCTCCCAGTTGACTTTGGCAATTGTCAGAGGTGCCTGTGATCGCAACATGAAAAACCTTTCTGGCCAATCGGCAGTCCCCTTTTTCTTTTGAATCAACACATACAATTATATCCCTTTTGTTGAATTCAGGTTGCCTGAGAGATGCTGGCATATGATTAGTACTCTTTAGAGATTTGTACACTGGTAAAATTTGATGATGCTGGAAGACTGCAATAGTTTGGCTGTGGGTGTCTGTTACCCTCAAGCCGAATTCTTTGTTTGCTAGGATATACTTGTACGTGTAGCTCACATGTAGCTCCTTGAAGGAGTGAGGTCTGTGGGTTTTAATGCCCTGATTTATTCTAAAATGTGTGTCTGTTTTATTTACATATCTCTGAGTTCCTCAAGGCTGTGTCCACAGACTACTTCCTTGCTCCCTTTATATTCATCATTGCACTGCTATAGCTTCAATGCCGGAATTACATTTGCAGATGATAATAAGGTAATGTAGTGGTGCACAGAAATTAAAATTCTGGACCAAAATTGAAAATGCAGGATGCACTTGGGCGAAAACTGAAATGGACAGTTTTTTTTGTTTTTTTTTTAAATATATTTTTAAATATAATTGTATTTATAGTCGGCCTTTTAATTAATATCAAGAATTTAAATTAATATGAATTTCAAAAAATACAATCCAGTAACGTAAAATAACTTTTATTGAAAGTAATGCACAAAAATTGGGCAGAAAATAAAATATATATATAAAATTAAAAAACTTAAATAGAGGTGTTTGTGCATTGATGCCAGTAGGATGCGATTTTGCATTGCAGCCAATTATCATTGTCTGCACTTTTATTTGTTCTGTTGGCAAAACGCTGATAACCCTATTTTTGGCCAATACTGTTCGGCAGCCGATATATTGTACATCACTAAGATAATGGGTTTAATTTCCAATGTTATTGAAAAAACATATGGCGAGAAGGTCCAAATGATGTTGAGTGATTTGTGCACAATGATTTATGCATGTGAGAGCTTGCAGTCTTTAAGAGAAGACAATAACTGTGAGCTACGGTTCATTATCACCCCCCTTCTCGGTTCATGTCTTTTAATGTGCCTTTGTCACGGCACAGATTAGCAGATCTCTGTGCAGGTGTTCTGGTGCATTGCCCCAGTACGTTTGTTGGAACAGTTCCAGAAGTTTTACTCCACCCTGTTCTTGGTTCCCAAACCAGAAGGAGGATCCATCCCATCTTGGATCACAAAGTCCTAAATGGCTTCATTCGGATGTGGAATTCAGCGTGGAATCCTGGTCTGTCAGCTTTGCTTTTATCAGAGAGAATTTTTGGCCTCTGAGGACATCAGTGACGTATACCTGCTTGTTATTTTTCCAGTGCCTCAGCAGTTATAGTTTGTGGTCCTGCCATTCGACCTGTTATCTACACCCCAAGCAATCACTAAAATGCCGGCCTCGGGACTAGTCGTGTTGCATTCCCATTGTGTGATATTTGCAGGACCTCTAGTTGAGGGAGCAGATGGCACATGTTCTGCCCAACATTGTAGCTTGAATAGTCTTGCCAAGGTTCTGGATATGTTATGAACATCCAGAAGTCTATGCTGAAACCAACTCATCAGTTAGACTTAAGCTGTGTCTAGGATTAGACCCAGATACTCTGTTTTTCTTCCCCAGTAGAAACTTCAAACTCCCAGATTTGGACTCTCCAGTCCAGGAGTCTCCTAATTTTTTGCTTCTGCATGACAGTTTAGGGTTTAATGGAAGCTTTCATAAAGACAACCCTTTTTGCCCATTTCCACTCCAGACCCTTACAACACAACATGTGATGTCATGTGACAAGTTGGCCCAGCCTTTGAAAAGACTGATTCTCTTCACACCTAACACCGGATTGTACCTGCTTGGGTGGTTCAGAAATTCTGCTCTGGATTTGGACAGGTGTTTGCTTTTAGTTTTTTAGACGTTCCTCACCATGGATGGCAGCCTCTTTGGCTGGGTAAAAGTCTTGGACACCTTATTGGTGCAGGAGAATGAATAACATCAGAATCTTGTCTGCCGATTGACCTTCTGGAACTTTGGGCATTTTGTTTGTCCCTGCAACACTGGACATCCCTACTGGAGATTCATCCTATCAGGATTTAGTCAAACAATGCTGTGGAAGTGGTGTCCATCAACATCAGGGAGAAAACAGAAATCTCGCTGCAGCAAGAATGGGTGGAAAGTATTCTGTCCCGGTCAGAACTTCATGTTCCAGTCTTGTCTGCAGTTTGCATCCCTATTGTGGACACGGCTTCAGCCAGCAATTCCTGAACTCGGAGACACAGGGATGGATGAATGGATGGGATGGTCCCTACATTTTAAGGGATCCTCCTGGCATAAGCAGTGGATGCTCTGGTGGCTCAGTACAGCCTGATCTATGGTTCCTCATCTGCTTCACAGGATTGAGGTGGAGGGCATTCCGGTGATTCTCATAGCTTCGGGTTAGTTCAGGGAGATGTGGTTCCCCAAACTGATCAGATTCCTGGGAGATGCGCAGTGGGTTCTTCCAGACTTTGTGTCTCCGGTCCCAGGGACTTATTTACCATTCTGCTTTGTGATTGCAGATTTTATTGGCATGGCTGTAGAAGCCCTTGTCTTCTACAGCCAGAAATACAAGCATTTTGAATTGGTGAACTGCAGGATGCTAAAGGCTAGGAAGCCAACTTCTGCAAGGTCTACCATCGCACATGGAAGGAATAGTTTGCTTGTTGTGAGGCACAAAGCTTTTGCCCCAAGAAATTCTCTGTGAGGTGACTCCTGGACTTTCTGCATATGGGCCTGCAGCAACCGTTGGCCCTAAGGACCATCGACTCTACAAATTTTGAGAGCCTTTCATGTGGAACATAAGAAGAGTCAAAATTTCAGAGTTAGGAACTGCAGAATATCGGGGTGCTGTGAAGAGGTTCTACAGCTTACACATGTCTTTTGCAAATGTGTGCGAACTAAACCCTTGTTTTTAAAGCATACTGTTAGACAGGCTAATTCGGTTTGTTTGCAAGTTGGTTGGTAAGTTGAGTTGGGAATTTTTTTTCTTTTATTCTTTGACAATATTCTGGGCTGGCTACAGTTTTTTTTTTAATTCCTCTGTCCCCCAGTGAACTTGAAGAAATGGATCTAATTGCAAAAATCCAATTTTAAAGCAGAATGAAAGCAAAATCTTGATTGGTTAAACGGAACTAATATACCGTTCCCTTGCTTTTTTTTTTTTTTGTTAATTTGGATCTATTTTGGTTAAAATTTGACACAATCTAATTTTGTCATGTGTTTTTATGTATAGCTGAAAAAGAATGCAAGAAAGATGCTGATAAACAGACTTTCCTTCATAGACGTCTCCTTTTTTATATTCTGTTTTTTCATTTCAAGAATTCCAGTTCTATTTGCAAAGCTAGATGTTTAACAATGAGATGTTGTAATTATTAAATAAAACCTGTTAGCTTCTCTTCATTCAATGTGGGACTATATAAATTGCAGGCGAATACCTAACAGTCTTGTATTGTGCTGGGAAATAACATGGCCTATGCAGTGCTAAACATTGAAAGCTTCTGCAAATCCTGAGAATTGCACCTCAGACTTCTCAGATGAGTAGCCTTTGGAATGGCAGTGTTCCTACAGGTTTCCCTTCTAGAAATGAAAAGTTAAACACCAGTTTTACTTTCACAGAAAATAAATAAAATATACGTAAAATGAATTTATTTGAATGGATTAGAAAATTATAAGTAGGGTTTAGAGTGCATTTTCTTTAAAGCCCAACTCTAGTTCCCTTTTGCACTCTTGCTGCCCATTGAAGCAAGTAAAACGTAGTCTGGGAGAATACATTCCAGGGAATTAAAGCAGTTGTAAAATCTCTTAATAAAATGAAAAAAATGTTCCGGCCTGCAGGATTAAGTCATACTGTAATAGTTTGCAGCACATACTAGTACATTATGAGAGACTTGCCTACCAACAGAGCCCTTCAGTGCTTGGCTGTCACTGCTCTCCCTGGTCCCCTGCACTTCTATGTTAACCTGGTCATCTTGTAGGTTCCAAATCTTTAACCTCTTGAATGGCTGGGCTGCTGTGACTTTACTCTTACATTCATACGGGAGTTGCTTTGCCGTGGCACAGAAAACAGGCCATAAATGCGGTCTGATCTGCGCATGCATGACTCTGATTGCATAACCGCTGACAGGAAGGGGGGTTATTAAGGATAGAAGAGACCTCCTAGGATCTTTTTTGTTTTCAATACACTGTCAGCGGATCTTTGATGCTTGGGTTTACTACCACTTTAACCATTTCCAGTCCAGAAACTTTTACCCCCTTCCTGTTCAGGCCAATTTTCAGCTTTCAGCGCTATCACACTTTGAGTGACAATTGCACGGTCATGCAACACTGTACCCATATGAATTTTTTAGCATTTTTTTGAGACAGATAAAGCTTTATTTTGGTGGTATTTATTCACCACTGGGATTTTTATTTTTTTTGCTATGAAAATGTCCAAACATTTTGAAAAAAAAGGTGTTTTTTTTCTTATAAAATTTTGCAAATAAATAATATTTCATCATAAATCTTGGCCAAAATTTATTCCGTTATCTTTTTAGTAAAAAAAAAAAAAATAACTCAAATTAGTTAATAACCAAAAATTATAATTTGTAAACCTTTTTTTTACATTTTTGTTTTATTTTTTATATTTGTTTTTTTTACATACTGTCACCATGGTAACACTGTACTACTTGTTGGGGGTGATGAAGTTTTTTTTTTTTTTTTTTTTTTTTGTTTTTTTTTTACACTGATTGCTTTCACACCCATAGAGGCTGTAAAAGAAATCATTTCTCCTTCTCTCTGGCTGCATTCTTGCAGCCATTGAGAAATACTGCGTGAGCTGTGATTTGGTCACAGCTTGTCACATGGTACAAGGCTGTTGTGAATAGCCTTGTACCATGTGACCTCTGTGATAATTCACAGATTTCACACGTAGTAAGCAATGATGTCAGAAAGTGACATCATTGCTTACTACTCTGCATGTGATCACTGATTGGCCAATCAGTGATCACATGATCAGGACCTTGCACAGAGGTCTGTCTGACGATCGATATTCCATTGTGTCCGGAGGACACAGCTGGCACCGGATCGCAGTGCTGCGCTCTCCCAGGGAGCGTGCACAAGCAGGGGGCATGGAGGCCGTTTATAAATGGTCACCTGCCCCTGCACTGCCACTGTCTGGCCGTTTATATACAAAGGCCGGATGGGAGGTGGTTAACTAAGCTTCCTGCATGATTATATTGGTGCAGGGAACTAGCACATGTAGCATGTGCCAAAATAACAAACAGAACTGTTTCAGTGATTTCTGCGCCAACCATGCCAGGTTCTATTTCAGAGGTAAAACAAACTGGTATGGGTTCTACACCTAATTAACAGAGGGAATGTTGGCAGTTTTAAATATAGATAATTTTTGCAGATCCCTGCCAGGTTGAACCTGGGGTACAGGATGTGAGCTGTCAGCAGACAGCTTGCATTCCTCTCTCTGTTTTGTACCGTGATTACACTGCACAAGCATTGTTAACAGTCTTCCCTGTTGGTTTAGCTGAGTAGGAAGGGGGGGGTAAGAGGGGGCAGGCAGAAGGATCAGAGCTAGATGAACTGTTCTGATGTATCTGTCACAGACACAACTTGGAGCAGATGGCTTCTAATTTTCGTTTTATTCATTAGGAGCAGTATCTGCTCTATTTACTCCGCTTTGAAGAGTGGTGCAGGCATACATCCTGCACCACTCTGTTTAAATTTTTCCCATTGTATCAGTGGTTGTTAAGTTGGATGTCATCTATTTGCATATGTACACGTGTCCATGTACCCTGTCCATGGGTGTCTTGGTGATGATGATCATGGTTCCAAGGGAGGGTGCTCTGTTTCAGTTTTGCTTAACAGCAAGTGGCAACATTTTCAAAATGGTGGTTAAGCCATGATATTAGTACCTGATGGTGGCTCAGTAATGAATATTGGAAAGATTCAATATTCAGTGTTTTGTAGTGCACAGAACCTGCCAGGCCCTCAGTTCCCAGGGGTGTTGTAAACAAGAAGCAGATTATGCCCTTCCAGTACGCAGTTGCTTGATGCTGATAAAATGCAGTGAAACATAAAAAAAAAACAGGGCATGCATTTTCTATAAACATTATGTAATATCCTATTTTTTTTTTTCCCCCCAGAGTTCATTACCAAACTTCAAGCAGAACGAGTTCTCTGTGGTGAGACAGCATGAAGAGTTCATATGGCTGCATGATTCCTTTGTGGAAAATGAGGAATATGCCGGATATATTGTAAGTGTAATAATATTGTCTGCCTTTATACTTCAGTTATTGTGCTTCATGAGCTCCCATGTTTAGCTTTGCTGTAATTTTTTTTTCTAAATACTTATCTGGGGGATTACATATTTTTAATTAATATTTTTTCTTAGCCTCCATGAGCAATAAGTAAGCTGCCGGGGCCATCTGTGCTGAAAAATGTAGCTAATAACACCCTGTGTAATTACAGTGGAGCGAGGCAAAAATAACAGTTTAATTTGGAAAAGCTGATTGTATCCATTTATCAGCCAAGCATAGAATGTGTACCAGACAGGCCGATAACAGAGGGGAAACTATGTAGACGTAAAACCCTGTCTTGGCTGTATATATTCAACAACAGATTCATCAGTTTTAAAGCATTGGGGAAAAAAACTTGTATTGGATTTCTAGCGTAAACGGCATAGTTTAATAAAAGCAGAAAGGGGAAGGGAAGTTGGTTCTGGTCAGTAAGACTTCAGCTGTGGTTTTACTAGTGCATGTATGAACGTGAAAGAGAATCTATCAGTTTGCATATTAGCACATAGGGGCAAGTGTATTTACTGTTCTCTCACATATATATTCTTATTATTATAGCCAAATTTACCATCCTAACGCCTCCAACAGTTTTTACACTACATAGACAGTAATATACCGAAACGTGCGTATTGTTCCCGATTGGTGTGCTATTACTTTGTGGAACGTTTCGCCGAATGGTTCACGAAATATCGGCGTTTTTGTGGTGAAATCGGTCCCATAGGAATGAATGGCAGAATGTTCAAAACTAGAGTGGGAGCTGACAAAAGCTAGAGTGGGAGCTGAAAAATCAGGACATGATTTCTAAACTGCCATCACTCCCTCATTTTCAAGCCCACCTACACAAATCTTATATCAAAACGTTCAACTATCCCTGCTGCCACTAAAAATGTCCACGGCTAAGCCATAGTCCTGATAGTTTTCACAATATGACCATTTGTTTGCAAGTCATGCCACCCATTGACATTCATTGAAACTGCACTCTAGCCACCTCAAATTTGAAGGGCAATTTCTAAACTGCGACCACTCCAGTTGTAGACTACTGGTGGAGGCAAGAACACTTCACACAATTTCCACAGAAATTGTAGCTTTTCTAGTTTTTATTTTGTTTTTTGTAAGATTCATAAACCTGAACCTCCATCCCACTGCTACTTAGATGCTCTATTCGAGCACTTTGGAAATCTGTCCCTGTGTATATGGGGGAGCATTGGACCATATACGATGCAGTGCGGGGGCCTGAACAGCCAGTCACCAGGCTGGAACTATGGGTTTTTTTTTTTCTAAAACTGGAGAGTGCAAAATCTGGTGCAACTCTGCACAGAAACCAAATGGCTTCCGGGTTTTATTGCCAAAGCTGAAGTTAGAAGCAGATTGGCTACAGCTGCACCAGATTGTGAGTGCACTAGTCTTAGTAAATCTACCGCACCATCTTTTGTGCAAAAAAGTTAACCTGTTTACTTTGGTACAAAGCTTACACAGGGTTTGGACACCCAAACAGGGATTTGTTGCAAGAGAACCTGTAACTTTGCTCTAAATGAGCAAAGCTGGTCTCATGAAGGATGTTATAAAGTGCTATGTGCAACACAGCTGTTTCCATCTTCCAGATTACTACTTAAAAAATATATATTAAACATTTTTTATATTTTGATAGTATTTAGTGGAAACTCTTTACTATATTGAAGTAAAGTTTTTGTTGTTCCCGTGTATATAGTATAATTAATGAGACCTGGCTATAAATAGGAGTGTATTAGACCTAGGGTACTATTACTCTGCCATAGGCACAATATATGGATGTAGCAGACTTCAAAAGGCACCAGCCAATCCACTGAGCTAAAGATGTGCGTCCTCACTTAGAATGATCTGTCTGCCCCGGAACCAATATGCAGCCAGTTCTCACTGAAGGCAGGCATAGTTTTACCAACCTTTGCCAGCAAAATAAAAATAAGTACACAGTACAAAATTACCAGCTCTTAGCCCTTAGGCCTCATGCAGACAGGGCATTTTAGCAGCCACTTTTAGGGGCGTCGGGCTTTTTTTTTTTTTTTTTTTTTTTTTTTTAACTGCTTCCAAACAGCTATCCTATGTGTCCAAGCACCCACACAGACATTTAGTAGCAGTAGCATTTAGACAGCAGGAAAAAAATAAAACCCAGGGCCAGTACATCCAGAAGCAGAGTTTTGCCAGAAAAAAACGCTTGCCGCATGCAAATACAGCTAAACGCGCCTAAACACTTGTTAATGCTAGACGCAGTTAGTGCTTGAACGTTCATTTCAGTGCCAAGAATAAATTCCTATTCTGGCCAATTAAATGAATTAACGCCCAAACGCTTGGTGCTTGTAAATGCGCTTGAACACTTGTGAAAGCATTAGACACTTTAACAATCGTCCGTTTTTTTTTTTTTTTTTTTTTTTCTGCCAAAATGTTGCTGCCAAGAGGAGGAGCATTTTCAAATGTCCTGTGTGCATGAGGCATTCTAGCTGGCAAAGGGGGGCCAAGATTAAACCCTTTTTTAGTTTCCTCTAGGTTTTTATTTTAATTTGCTGCTCAGGCCAATTATGACATTTCTCACATATTAAAATCTGCATTTTTTTTTTTTTTGTTAGAAAATTACTTAAAACCCCCAAAAATTTATATATTTTCTGAAAGTAGATGGCCTGGACAATAAAATGGTTGTTGCAATTTTTATGTTGCATGATATTTGTGCAGCCCTTTTATCGGGCACAGATTTTCAGGGAAAAAATACAATTAAAGTGTTACTAAAGTCAACTTATTTATTTTAACAAACACGTTGTGCTCGCCTGCTCTGTGCAGTGGTATTGCACACAATGGTCCTGATCTTCCTTGTCTCATGTTCCCTGCCAGCGATCTTGGCTCCTCCTCTTAGGGTATCCTCATAGGAAGCTGTTTGATATGGAGGCACACAGTGTCTGCGTGCTCCCAATCTGTGTGTCTATGGAGCTGCGCCCACTTTCTCCTTATTGCATTTGATTGACAGCAGCAAGAGCCAATGGCTCATGCTGCTGCTTGAGTGCTGTGTGAAGAGGAAGAGAGAGGAGAAGAGATTTATTATCTATTACAGGTACTTGTATGGTGCTGTCAATTTACACAGAGCTATATATATTTATTTTTTTGTACATTCACATCAGTCCCTAACCCTCCAGGAGCGTCTACGGTCCCTAACTCACATTCATACATACACATACTAAGGCCAGTTTAAACAAAGCCCAATTAACCTACAAGCATGTGTTTAGAATGTGGGAGGAAACTTGAGTACCTGGCGAAAACCCACGCCGGCACAGGGATTCGAACCAATGATCCCTGTGCTGCTAGGTGGAAGTGCTAACTATTTATCCACTGTGTTGCCCCATGCACAGCGCTGGATGTATTCTCCCTTCTCTTCTTTATATAGGGAAGGGGTGGGGCAGAGAAATATTAAACGTTTTTACCTTTTAATCCAACACACACACACACACACACACTGAATAAATGGATACCAAACGTGTCAAGATTTAAATTTTTGTTGCTGGACTTAAAAAATCTTCATATGTAATGCTTTGAAAGCCTTTACGGGTTACCAGAGTGAAATTTAAGCTCTAGCATTAGAATTATTGTCTGACATTAGCAGTGATACCTCATGTACAATTACCATATACATATGAGACCTATGTACGCATTTACTTTTTGCGTTTGAGAACAGGGGGGTGGGGGGAGGCGCTTTTAATTTTTTTTTCTCACAATGTGTGTGTGTGTTACCCTAGCCAGCAAATAAAACCTATTCTAATATTACATGTATATATTTGTAAGACACACATCATGACAAAATTCCTTTGTGTAGCATGGACTATGATTGTAACAAAACAGGGATATATGAAGAAACCGCAAGCACACGTCCTGGTTACTGCATCTATTAAGACTTGTACAGTGATACATAACTCCAAACTCGCACAAGGTCCCTGAAGACCATGTGTGTCCATAAAACAGCAAAGTGTGAAAATAGTAGGTATTTATTAATTTATGACTGGCAAAGCAAGGTGTGTGTTGTTGCAGAGGGAAATGGAGGAGAAATCTTCCAGCAGGGACACTTGTTTCTGTGACTGCAACCTCTTCTTGTTGAGTCTTCAGGACAAGAAGTAATCTTCCTAATGGCAAAAACTATGCACCTCCTTTTTTTTTTTTTTTTGCCTCCCTTATTCTGTCCAAAATAGGAAGAAAAAGGTGGTTTTTTTTTTGTTTTGTTTTTTGGGGGTTTTTTTTTTTACATCTACTACTACTACTTTAAATATACTTGTAGTCTTGAAGAGGACTTCCTGCCAAATTGATAAGGGAAGGTACACTGTGCCAGTGTTTCTTTTTAGATTTTTTTAGGCTATTGTGATTGAAGCGCATTAATCCTCATGCCTGTATAGGCTGCGCTTCAACCATTTGCTATGTAAAGAGGTGTGGTTTTGGAAGAGCTTCTGTTGATTTTTGAGACTGCTGAACATGTCAGACTTAATCCTCTTACAACCTATCTGTTGTGTGGTCGCAAAAAAACAAAAAATAACATGCATTTAAAACTCTGAATTACTTTCTTATATATGTAGATTCCCCCTGCACCACCCAGACCAGATTTTGATGCCTCCAGAGAGAAACTGCAAAAACTTGGAGAAGGAGAGGGTTCCATGACCAAGGAGGAGTTTACCAAAATGAAACAAGAGCTTGAAGCGTAAGTTTTTATTATTAAGTTATTGGTGAACTGATGTATTCAACAATGTTGTGAGATAGAGTTGCTCAAAGGATGACTAAACTTTGAAACAGCCAAAACCTACCAGCACTCGTTCACTGCCTCCATACTATCTGTACCCCCTTGTACCTACCTCAGACCTATAACTGGCAGTGCTTCTGTCCTCTTCCAAGGTCTGGGGGCTTCTCAGGTCTGTTCATATGTGGCATTTCTCTGTAGGCCCTAATGGTAAAGCCTTCTACTTGAATTACAATCTATTCTGAAACAATAGAGCTGCTAGAGCCGGCATCAATGGCTTGAGTCCTGGCCTGTTTAGCAGGGACTGGCCAGGATTCGAACCATCTGTGGGCAGGCTGATTTTACCCAAGTCAAGTGTGTTGGATTTTTCATGCGATTATTGCTGGCAGCTATTATAGCCACTATCAGTAATCACTATGTTCTCCTGGCGGGGATGGCTCCCCCTGCAGGGAGAACACAATAGCTCCACAGGAGGGAGTCCTTCAGCAACACTGACTGTGTTGTTGGTTGAATGGAGCGATTTTTTTTTTTTTTTTTTTTCCTCTCCTGCAACCAGAGGCTGCAGGAAAGCAAATCGCATTACGTATGGCCTGCTTAAGCACTTTTACATCATCATGCAGTCAGACCTGAGGAACTCTCTAAGGATGGCCATGCATTTCACAATTTTCTTGTACAATTTCTGTACAGTATCTTTTAGATTTACCTTCCGCTATGGGCCTACCTGATTGGATACAGTTGAAAGTTTTTAGGTTTGACTTCTTATTATATGGCTTTTGGTAAATTTAAAGGAAGCTTGTACAAGAAAATTTGTAAAATATATGACCAGCTTAACAGGCCAAACAATTCTTCCTTCTGAGTGAAAGTGAAAAGGCTGAATAATATTCTGGCTGTTCTCTTACTATATAAATTCTGCTAATGAAATGATCTTTTTACTTTCAGAGAATACCTGGCTATTTTCAAGAAAACGGTAGCAATGCATGAAGTCTTCCTTTGTCGTGTTGCAGCTCATCCTATCCTTAGAAAAGATTTAAATTTTCATGTTTTTCTGGAGTACAATCAGGATGTGAGTTGAGTATTATTTTGTTTCCTTATTAACCACTTTCCCTCCAGAGGATTCACCACCCCCCACCATTTTATGGGATACGGTGCTACGTTACTTTAATTGGCAATTGCGCAGTCATGCAACGCTGCACCCAAATGAAATTTATGTCCCCCCCCCCCCCCCCAAATAGAGCTTTCTTTCGGTGGTATTTGATCTCCTGTGCATTTTTTTTTTAATGCGCTATAAACAAGACCAACAACTTTGAAAAAAAAACACAATATTTTTTGCTATAAAACATATCCAGTAAAAAAAATCAAATTTTGTCATAAATTTAGGTCAAAATGTATTCTGCGACATGTCTTTGCTAAAAATAAATATCAATACGTGTAAATTAATTGGCTTATGTGAAAGTTATAGCATCTATAAATGGTGGTATATATACTGGAATTTGTATTAATTTTTTTACTAGTAATGACGGCAATCATAGATTTATTGCGGGACTGCGGCGGGCATTCTGACACTGGGGGGGGAACTGTCACTGGCATCCCCAGTGACACCAATACAGCGATCAGCGCTAAAAAAAAAAAAAAAAAAAAAGAAAAAAAAGACTGACACTGTACTAAGGACACTGCGCAGGAAAGGATTAACATCTGGGGTGATCAAAGGGTTTACTGTGTGCTGTGATTTGCTGTGTAAGCACGCTGCTTTGTATTGCTCTGCTATGCAGAGCAATACAAGCAACGTGCTGGAGCTGACAGGGGAGAGATCTGTATTGTTTACATACAGACCTCTCCCCTGTCAGTGATACTCGGCAATCGTCGGGTGCTGGCGGGGAATCACCGGCTCGGACCCGCTGATCGACAGCTGAAGCCGTGGCAGCGCTGGTAGGGCGTGTGCGCACCCCCTACCCGGAAATACATAATAACGTATATATATATGATTTTTCACAGCCCTGCCGCCCTGTAGCAGTAGTTCTGCTATAGAGCGGTCGGGAAGCGGTTAAAGGTACCTCTAAACATCGGATGAGCGTTTGGAAATTATTTGAAAGCTGAAGATACTGGTTTGTAAATTTGAAGAGAATTATTTTAGACTGTTCACACAAGTAAATGGTGTTTCTTATGTTTCACACGATTTACCTTGTCAGCATAAATTCATGTACACTATCTATTCATACAGCTATGAGGATTATCCGTATATACTGTATATATAGAACATGATTATCTGGCTGTTTTCTGTTATTGCAAAATGCAGCAAGCTGTATAGATTTCCATGTGTGTAAATGGAACCTGAGATATTGGGAAGGATAGAGAAGACATCTCAAATATATAATACATAATATGATGTATTAAGGTGGACTTATTACCTTACCAAACACTCAGTGTCTGCCACGCCTCTCTCTCCACTGGCTTCCAATTGCCCAACAAATAAAGTTCATAATATTACTTGTAGGTCATGTGTAAGGACTGTATGTCACTAACCTAATCTCAAAATATCACCCAAACCATCCTTTTCTCCCAAACCTGTCTCCCAGAGCTTCTCCCATCCTCTGGAACTCCCTACCTCAACCTGTAAAGTTATTTCCTACTCTGTCTTCTTTTAGGGATCCCTGAAAACCCTTCAGGGAAGCCTGTCCCGCCTCTAGGGAACAACTGAACTTTCTTGAAAAAAAACTCAGCCCCACACAGATACTACTTTTGAGTCCCTTTCCCTTTAGATTGTAAGCTCTAACAAGCAGGCCTAATGTATGATGAAACCACGTACACATTTGTAACTGAAGGAGAGTTCCTGCCTGCTATCATCAGCCTGGATAGCTGCTTTTTATTGCGGAGTATAGGACCTTGCATCCGGGGACTGTCATAGTAGAATGAATGACTTCTTTGTCTGGATATTTCCTTGCGTGATTACATAAGTAAATCCGTGTCTGAGCTAATGCGAATGGAATCGTTGATTTCAGTGGTTTAAATGATGGAAGTATTATTTCTGCACTATTAATAGAAAAGCATTTTCCAAACTGCCCTTATTTTCTAGTTAAGCGTGAGAGGAAAAAACAAGAAAGAAAAATTAGAAGATTTCTTTAAAAGTGTCGTAAAGACAGCTGACGGTGTCATTGTGTCCGGCACAAAGGTAAGAAGAAAAATGTACAGTGTGTAAATATATTTGGGACATGTGATTTGTCTGTTCAGCTACCATGTCACATGCACCTTGATAGATCATCGCTAAATGAGACAGGATTTGGAGAGATTAAAATGTCCTCCATTACCGTATTATCTAAATTTTTTCCTGTTTAAAAGGGAGAAGTGGAAAGTCTTAAGCTTTTTTTTTTTTTTTTTTTTTTTTAAATTCTTTTTATTAAATATTTTGCACAAGTACAGTTGCAAAAACCAGGAAATTGTGTGTCACAGAGCACTGACATGGTAAAGGCCACGCACGGCCCTGAAAAATACCAAATATATTCTTGAGTCTAAGCTTAATCTCCAGTTCTAGTGCTGTTAGTTGCACATTGTTATAGTGTTCAATCTGGTTGTCCCATATGGATTGCCAGGACGCCAATCCTTGGATGATATCTAGTTGTAGACTCTGACCATGTTAGACACACCCAAAAAAAGTCATCATTGTACACAGGGCATGTGTAAACATGTCTAGTCCTTCTGCCAGGACCTCTCCTGTCCCAGTACTGAGCATCTCAGCTCTGCTTAATCAAAGGGGCATTTCCCAGTACACAGAGAAAGTTCTGACAGCTAGAGTCTGGCAATGCAGTCTGAAAAGCAGTCTGGCAATGTTTATCAACAACATTGCTGAAAAGAAACAATGTTTCATTTCGTATCTGTTTATTCATCTACAGATCAAAAGCATGAACTTGGATCTGCAGATGAAGTCAGTTAACCACTTGCCCTCCAGAGGATTTACCCCCCTTCCTGACCAGGCCATTTTTTGCGTTATGGAGCCACGTTACTTTAACTGACAATTGTGCGGTCATGAATGCTGCACCCAAATGAAATTTACGTCCTTTTTCCCACAAATAGAGTTTTTATATTTTTTACTTTTTTCTATTAAACATGTCCAATACAAAAATTTTAAAAAACGAATTTCGTCATAAATTTAGGCAAAATGTTTTCTGCTACATGTTTTTGCGATAAAGAAATCCCAATACATGTAAATTAATTGGTTTACATGAAAGTTATAGCGTTTACAAATGGCGGTATATATTCTGGAATTTTTTTTTTTTTTTTTTTACCAGTAATGGCGGCGATCAGCGACTTATAGCGGGACTGCGGCCTGCATTCTGACACTGGGGGGAACTGAGTAGCTGTCACTGACATCCCCAGTGACACTAATACAGTGATCAGTGCTAATAAAAAGCACTGACACTGTACTAATGGCACTGGGCAAGAAGGGGTTAACATGGGGTGATCAAAGGGTTAACTGTGTGCTGTGTGTGTTTTTACTATGAGGCTGTGTGTGTGCTTTTCACTATGCAGAGGCATGCAAAGCAGTGTGCAGGAGCTGACAGGGGGGAGATCTGTATTGTTGGTAATACTCGGCAATCACCGGGTGCCGGTGAGTAATCACTGGCCGGGACCTGGTGATTGACAGCCGAGGCCGCAAAAGGCCTCGGCTGTCAACCCGGAACTGCAAAATCACGTGTGTGTATATATTATAGAGATATGGATGGATGGATAGATTTTTTAGAGCTACCTGACAAGTAAAAAGAGTGTTGTTTTTTTTTTTTTTTTTTTTTTAATGTTCCTGTTTAACCCCCTTATTAACCCTTAGTTTACTCTAACTCCTTATTCTCCTCTTTTTCCATTCAGTTATTTTCCTGCTGCTAGTTTTTTGATAGTTTCTCTTTTATTAACTAATAATATTTAAACCTTTTTGTTTTTTTTTGTTAATACTTTTTACACCTTTAACATATATTTACAAATTTCACATTTTTAAAAGAGCAAAATTGAAAAAAAAAACCCCACTTTATTTCATTTTTAAATAACTTTGCAATGCTTTGTACCAGAATCCTAATTTTAGTGTCATTTTAAACAGGACAAAATGCAGAATAAAATCTGCACATTTATGTGCAGTGACACTATTTATTTTAAACTAACACTGCTCAAAAACAAATGTTTTGTTATGTTTAATTGTTTAAGGATTACGGAAAAAAAAAATTGTTGCAAGACAATATTCACGAAAAGAAAGCCTAATTTGTCCTTAAAAAAAAAAAACAACCAATATATGTGTTACGTTTTTATCTTCAGTAATGACAAAGTTATTGCCTTATAAACAGATCCATAGCAGAAATGTAAATATTGCTGAGTCCATGGGGGGAACAGGTGTGAAGCGAAGTGGTCGCAATTTATGAGGCAGGAATTCACTTTGAATACTGTGATTTATATTAAACTTTTTTTATATTTTACTTATTTTTCTTGATTTTATGTGTACTATAATGTCAGTGTAACTAGAAGAAAAATTGTGGTTTCTAGTAAACTTTTTCTCTTTCCAGGATGTGGATGATTTCTTTGATCATGAGAGGACGTTTCTTGTGGAATATCACAATCGAGTGAAGGATTCAAGTGCCAAGTCAGACAAAATGACAAGATCCCACAAATGTAAGCCCCCCTATTGTGCCAATGGCATATCTCATATCAGGCAGGTGGTGTTTTAGTATGGCCTAAATAGATAAGGTGGTGTAGCGCTAACAACATGTGATAATTGACATAAAAATTAATAAAGGACTCAATATTAAATGGGTGAATACATAAATTATATGAATGAATATATAGATGTACAGTGGTGCACCTAATGTGTATCCCAAAAACATGCCATCAATAGAATGTGACTAAATAGAAGTGATAAGTGATTTAAGTGAAACCAATATTAACCAAATATAAATACATGTGGTCATAAATGAACAATATTCATAAATCATATAGCACAAAGTCCCAAACGTATAACTGTGATGACTCCATCTTCGACCGTGAAAATTATTACGTGCTCAAGTGCATCAAACCATCTGTCACCGTCTAGTGTGCACGCTTACCTCCAATCTTTGACCCTCAAGGAGTTATAAGGCATAACAAATCACCAGTTAGTCCCAGGTGGGATGAATCTCACTCTCTGGATGGACACAGGATCAGCTTCCACACAGCCCACAGTTAATCAACCATTACAATGGTAAGGCACCTTTACAAAAACTCCTCCACTCTCCCAATGGCTCATAAACAGGGAATCGGAGAAAAAGCCCCCATATTGTAATAGAGTAAAGATTATTATACCATACACAAATGCCAAAGACCTACTCACACCTTAAAATCGGGTCATAGACCCACCAGGCATGAACTGTATAACTCACAGGGTGCTTGCATAGGGAGTCCAAAGGTGGCTGCCCTCCGTGCGTAATTGCGTCACCACTCTCTAGTCAGACATGTTGCGTCACTATAACATGTAACTTCTCCAGGGATCTTAGTATGGCCTGTTTCCCCCGTTTTTTATTGTGGATAACAAATTCAAATTGAACGAGCGTCCAAAATGCTTACAGATGAACATCGGGTAGACATGGGCAACCTCTTGAACATTAATATCTGGCTGATACAATGATATCATTGCATTGTGGCTTGAGTGCATGGCTACCAGTAAAGGTGAAAACAGGGCGATAAGGTCTGCCTCAGGGTTGATTTATAGAGCACATAGGTTATTTTGTTGTTTGACAATGCTGACAGCCTTAATACTGCTAAATCTTTAACTGAACAAGACAGACTGTTATATAAAATAAGATCTGCTAAGAAAACATGCATAATAAGCACCAAAACTTCAATGACCAAAACCTTACCTTTTGGTGAATAAAATGAGTTCATCAATGAGGCATGAAGAAAAACCTATAAATGTAACCATCATAAAGAATTACATTTGTTAACTCCTGTGACATTGCACAGTGCAATACCACTAAAATAATTACTTAGGGAATTACAATGGCATTAAAGCTAGACCTCCACTCTGCCTTCAGTCTTGCAAGCTCCTCAGCTGTGCTGAAACTGCGTACTCTGATTTTCACTGCACTACTCCGTGTCCATTAACGTCTGCAAGTTACAGAGCGTTTGTCTCACTTCTGGACTGGAGGATTTCCAGCATCATCTAGTCTTTGTTTCCCATCCTGACTGTCTCTGGCCTGCCCCATTCATTCACTGGATTTCAGTTCTTTCAATCATGGAAGCTCAGCATAACATGTGGACATTACCTGGTCACAGTCTTCATGCAAATGCATCTGTCTAGGAACTCCCAGTACTCCACACTGGCATCCACTCATCAAGGCTTATGATAGTGGTTTCAAAACCCAGCCCAGGGCTTGCACCCTGACTGAGGGCTCCTGATAGGGAGTACTGAGGCCAACTGTGGTGATGTTTTCAGTAAGCGATGTACAATACTCTGCCAGTCCCTCCTTCCATCAGCCATGATCTGCCTGCATTGCATAGAGAAGCTCAGAAATCTAATGATGGTGTCACTGGGTCTAAAATGAGATCTTAAATAAAAAAGGGAAAGTTTTCATACATTTTAAAACTTAATTTGCATGTTGATGGGAGAGAAGCAAGGATTTACTGTAGCATTTCTTAAAAAAAAAAAAGAAGAAAAAAGCTAACTTTACCGCTTCCTTCTCTCTGCTACTTTGTTGCTTTGTAATAGTTTTTTAAATATTTTGACAGCATAGTTCTAGTAAGGGCTTGGTATGTAGAGAGAAGGGAGCGGTAACATTAGCTCTGCTCTTAAGGCTGAACTGTAAGTATCTTGGGCTTCTCTGTGACTACCATATGAGGATCTCCTTTCCATGCAGAGGTCACAGCTCTTGTGAATTGCAGAGAAGGTTCATCAGATCAGCCGGCTTCCTTCAGTACTGCACATGCAACTTTTGTGGAGGAGAGCAGACAGGTCTGTTTTTTAATCCAAAACTGTTCTTTTGACCATCACGTGAGTGCAATATTATAGCTGCACTTGTTGATGGAAGAATATTGGGTAAAAAATGCTTGGGTCTCTAGAACAGAGCAGATAAATCTTTCCACGGGACATTGGAGTGGTTATTGAATACTATGCATGCCTGCATTTTGTTTAACCATTACAATGCAGAGCACAGTGTGGAAGTTTGCTTTCGGTATGTTCCGCACACTCTGCTTTAGGAGGGGAGGTGCCTGTCATGTGACCTCTCAGTCATCGGATAGGTTTCCCCTTCCTTGCACAACCTACCCCCATTCCATGAGTAGGGATTCACTTGCTTCAGAGTTGTAAAGCTGAGCTTTATAAATGTCTACGAGCAAATTCACACCAGCCACTGTGTTGTAGTCTGTTAGGATCCCTGCAGTGCCAATCTTGATCCATCGCTCTTTTCACTTTTTAAATTAATTATATTATAATTTTAAAAGGATATTTCATTAAGTTCAGTTGGCGGCCACGTAGTGCAAAGCAGTGGATTTCCTCGCACTGCTCTGGACAAATGTACTGCATGCAGTATTTTCTTTTTTTTTCAGCGCACACCACGCCAACACCATGGTGTGAGCTGGGCACACCGGAGACCAGGCATTTTGCCTTGTCATGCAGTGGGACTACGCCGGAGTAGTTGCCCAACGCAGTCTCACCGCACCGCATCTGGTGTGGATATGCCCATAGTACTTAAATAGGGTAACTCTGTTTGAAGTAAATGCCCAGGTGCTCACCCACAAAGAAATCCCTATAAATCCAAAACTGGTTTTGCAGGGTCTTGTAGAGGAGGTAAATCACAAACAGCAGTGTTTTTATTGTCAACTTGAGAAAGATAGACCGAGCTTCATCCAAATGTTGACCATAAAAACACTGCTGTTTTTGATCTACCTCCTCTGCAGGACCCGTGAGTGCCTCTAATCCAGTTTTTGATTTGTAGTATTTATTTATGTATTTTAAAGGAATGGTATGATCTAACCGGGGCCCCCCTTTTTTAAAGTTTTCACCATTGAATGAGCCCTGACTGTACTGGAGTGAAGAACTGTACAATGACCTTACACAAGCTGATCTGATACGGCTCTGATGCTTTTATATCCCCTCATTGTTATAGGTGTTGCAGATGACTATAACAGAATAGGATCTTCAATGTACACACTGGGAACACAGGACAATACTGACATATGCAAGTAAGAGATAATTGTGTACTTGGTTTACATATGTTACCATAAGAAAAACTAGATGACAACAAAGTGGAAATCCTAAAACAAGTTGTATAACCTCTGCATCCATTATCACCTTTGAAACAACCTTCCACATTGGCAACTGGCTTATTTGGGGCACTGCTTGAGGGAGTTGTAATGTTCTTCTCCCTTTTGTATGGATTTCCTCCCACAAAATACTTTGGTAGGTTTGAGCATGGGAAGCTATTTTATTTGCATAGGTCACTGGGTACCTTTATTCCCCATTACCACTGGATTATGCTGTGGAAAAGAGCAATGTTGTAGGACGGAGTGCTGAAGTTATCCTCTGGGTGGATTGACACTAGGGATGCACCGACATTTCGGTCGCCGAAACGTTTTGGCCGAAAACACTCCTTTCAGCACAGGTGCTGAAAAAACTCTGCCCCTCGACGCCGCCCGTCCGCTGCCGCCACTCGGTAGTTCAGTCTTACCTGAGAAACCATCGATCCCGGCGCTGGGCATAGAGATGTGTGAAGGATAGATGGCAGCCACACCTCTCTATGCCCTTGGAGGACTTTTTTTTTGATCCAGTGCTTTACATTGCAGAGGAGAGATGTGGGGTCTTATTGACCCCATAGCTCTCCATAAAGAGGACTTGTCACTAATTATTTCTATCACAAGGGATGCATTTCTTGTGATGAGAATAAAAGTGATTAAAATTTTTTTTAAAGGAACAGTGCAAAAAAATAAAAACAAATACATTTTTTAAAAAAAGTTTAAAGTGCCCCCCCCCCCACCCCGTGCTCGCACATAGTGGTGAACACATACGTAGGCCATGCCCACATATGAAAACTGTGTTCAAACCACACATGTGAGGTATCGCCACAAACGTCAGATCAAGAGCAATAATTCTAGCACTAGAGCTCCTCTGTAACTTTACACTGCTAACCTGTAGAAATTTTGAAAGCATCACCCATGGAGATTTTTAAATACCGCAATTTCAGGCCATTCCAAGAGCGTGCACAATTTTTAAAACGTGACATGTTGGGTATTTACTCGCCGTAGCATCCTCTTTCATATTTTACAAAAAAAAATGGGGTATATATTGTTTTTTTGTTTTTTTTTTAATCAGTGTATTTTTTTCCAAAAAATATATATTCATTTTTAAACAAGTGCTTTTTGGAAACAAGGGTTTTTGGACAAGTGCATTTTGAAGTTTCGGTACCAGAATTTTCATTTCGGTGCACCACTAATTGACACACATATGCACACTGCACTCTTTCCCACCATACAGCATTGAAAGGCATCTCCCCGCTGCTGCTTCTGCAGCCAAGAGCCATGTGTAATTCAGATATGCTGTGTGCCTACCATAACTTTCATCATCTCCGGTCATCTGACCCTCACCTGCTACAAGCTGTCTGGGTTTTGGGAGTGCCTGAGACCTTATTAGTCTTTGTTGTTGCGGTTGCATCATGTCTGATTCTAGATACAGAGGAGACAGTCCTGCTGTCCTGGTTTCCCCCAGTTCACTTTCTACTAACGGTTCTTGGGCTGTTTGCACCAAGTGATAATGCTGACATCTGCAGCCTGGAGTCATGTTGCCCTCTGATGTTTGGAACCTATTCCATCTTCAGAGTCCTCCTGTAACTCTGTTGGATGTGACTCCATCCTCTGTTCTTTTGGCCATGATCTGTACTACATCCAAGACTTCATGTTGCAAATCCCCCACTTATTTGGCGACTTTAGTCACTGAGGTCAAAAGCGCGCTCCCATGCCTTGTTGTGCAGGTTCAAAGTATCATTGGCCTTTGCAGCTTTTGAACCTTTGCTCACAAAGCTGTCAGGTTTTGAGTCGATCCAGTGCTTGACTGAAGTTTATGGTTAGTTGCTCCCAAATTAAATGAGAAATGTTGGACTCTTATTGACGCAGTGGGCCTGCTACCAGTGTGGCCTTCAACTTTGAATTGTTTAAAACTCCCAAGGCCAAAGTCTTTCCCTTTTGCATCTGCTTTTCCATCTATTTTATTGAAGACCTGCTGAAAAGTTATTTACTCCCCCCCAAGTGCCTGTTAGCCTTGTATACATTTGGTGACAATTTTGGTACAATTTTGTACAAAAGTGGCCCATTCCCACTTTGGATCTGGCTGTGTCCTGCCTTAACAAGGTGCTTACTGTTCCAGTAGAGGATGTGCCTGTCTTCAAGGACCCCCAGCCGATAAGCAGTTTGAAGCAATTTTTTTTAACTTTGTTCTCTCTAAAAGGTCCTACCGTTCACTTTATTCTTTCAAAACATGTCTGGTCAAAATCCATTAAGAGATTTAACAACTGTTGCAGTGTACCCCTTGCTTATTGAACGTATGCAGCTTTAAATTTCAGTTGTGATGGTTTTCTGGAAGCCTCTCCTCTAATTTACTGAATGTTTCCTATGTTGGTACATGTGCGTATAGAACCAAAGTGCTGGACTGTGAGACCAGCTCTCAATAATCGTATCAGGGATGCTACTAGTGGTGAGAACACCCATTTTCCTCCATGGAGAAAGTCTAAGGAACAGTCTCCCCTTGTGACTTTTAGGAAACATTCCTTTTAGGTTATACAATCACAGAAGCTGTACTACAACTGTGATCTATGAATGGGGCTGGTGGAATTATCAGTTATCCATCTCTCCTCCATTATCACAGCTTTCATTTTTTATTCTTCCTGCACCTAGGCTTTAAAGTAAACTTATTTGCACCCCAAAAAAATGCCTGCAAGTACCTAGTTTTAAGTTGGTCCAGGGCCTCAACTTCCTGCAAGTGGAACAGCTGAATGGATATAAAATGAGCAAACTAATGCAATTCTGTATTCATTTATAAATCCTTTAGCCCTGGTTCACATTTATGCAGCCATGCGGGCCGCAATTTGCGCGGGCATGAGAGCCCATTCATTTGAATGGACTCCTGTGCCCCATGACACGCAGAGAAGACGTCCCTGCACTTCTTCTGAAAACGCAGCCCACACGGGAACCTTTCTTCCCAGTACGGTTGCGTTTTTCCAGAGCGGGCGGCGTGCCATTAGAACTAATGGCACCTGCCTGTGGGTTTGCATTTCTTTGTGCGGGTGGTGCGGCTGCATGGATTTTTATGCAGATCCACAGCTGCACCACCCACACAGATGTTAACATAGCCTTAAATCTACCAGAGTTTGCCTTTTGTATTAGTTGTTTCCAGATTACTGTACAGCAGCGCTCAGACTAGGGCAGGGATAAATCAGCGCAAGGAGTCATTCAGTTGTGCAAGAAGAAAAGAACAGTGACATAGAAACTAGCTCATCATAATGCTGCTTCTCATGTCATCATCCGGTCACAGGATATGGAAGGGATAAGACCCCAAATTGCTACTTAAAAATGCAGCACAGAATGATCAGGTCATTTCCCATATCTGATTGTCTGTGTTGTGTGAGAAAACTGTTAATATCAGGATTGGATGGGAAGAAATACAAATACAAATTCGTAGGTAAACAGCCCCAGTGTATGCATTTCATCTATGTATTTAGTGACTTGCCTGTAGTTCAGCTTGACACGCTGCCCTCTTTAGGTACTAAGCTCCACCCATCAAATGTCAGAATCTGCGTTAAGTGATGTGGTTAGCTGCGCAGAATTACAATTTCATTAGCAGTTAAAATAATGTGTAATTAACTGTACATTTGGTGTCTAATCTGGTGCTCCACTTCATGATGAGAAGTGTGTGGTAATACCATTTTTCTTTCTTGGGTTTTCAACTATATCAGTCTGTATAATTGCTATTGAAAAGCTTTGTACTGCAAAGTAACTTTTTTTTTTTTTTTTTTTTTTTTTTTTCTCCATATACAGGTTTTTCTTAAGAGTGTCTGAATTGTTTGATAATAAAACTCGTGTAAGTATTATTCACCATTACTTTTTGGTTGGTTTGCACAAGAGTAGCTGAATGCATTTGTGCACAAAAATCCTAATATAGTGGTTTTGTTTCAAGAGCTCCTAAATCCTAAACATTAAAGGGTCAGTCCACTCATAGTTAATACTTTGGTGTTTGCTAGATAATACAGACTCAACAACTTACCCTTTGCTCTCGAAAGCCTATTCCATCCAATTAGTCCTCTGTAGCTCAGATAAAAGCACAAAGTATTTTAAATGCCTAATGCCAGTGTTTTCCATTCCATAAATTATGTATGTTTTTGCAATGTGCCTCTGAATTTGATAGAAGATCCCTAGCACAGCCTCCTTCCTCCTTACACGTCATAGCCCTCTCCTCCTCTGGAAGTTTCTTTTTACTGTCTGCGCTGGCCCTCCCTTTCCTACATAATCTTTTATGTAGCCGCAGGAGGAGATGCAAAGGAGAATACTATAGAATACCACTTAGTGTGAATCTGCTTGGATTCCAACATCACATCCAAGTTGGTGGCACCCAGCAGCAGTCTCATGGCTAAATTATAAAACCTAAAAGTCCAGTGAAGAAAACATCCAGGTGAAAAAATGACCAAGGGTATGAACTTTATAGCAGTCCCTTTAGAAAGTGAACGATCCAAAACTGTTATCTTCTTATCACCAGTGATGCCTAACACTACCATGAAAGCAAGATGCAGACTTACCAGACACACTGAATAAGGGGGAAGTGTGTCTGGTAAGTCCCTGAAGGTGGTGTTTGGTGTCACTGCTGATAATAAGATAATGGTTTTGGATTGTTCACTTTCTAAGGGGACTGTATATGGTTCTCACCCTTGAACATTCTTCACTGGACTTTTAGGTTTTATAATTTTTGCACTTTAATGATATTTGTTTTGATTTACATATTAAGAAATATATACCTAATAATAATAATAAAAAGAAGTGCCTCAGAAGTTTACACCTAGGTTGGGAGTGTTAACTGGAAGTGACTAAAGGTTAGAGTTTTATTAAACTGATGTCTTCCCAGGAGCATTTTTCAAAGTTTGTTAATGAGGAAAAAAAGAAGAGAAAATGATTAGGAGCGTAGAAGGGAAAGAGGGGGAAAACGAGCAGGAGGGAAGGGTTAGAGCAGGGTTTGACACATTTGCTTTGAATCTAGGAGCCAGCTAGAAAAGTTAGGCGACAAGTTTTTTTTTTTTTTTAATCGCTTGCCTACTGGTTACTTTCGCCCCTTTCCTGCCCAGGCCAATTTTCATCTTTCTGCATTTTCACATTTTAAATGACAATTGCGCCATCATGCAACACTGTTCCCAAATGAAATTATCATTTTTTTGAGACAGATAGTGCTTTCTTTTAGTGGCATTATTCACCTCTGGGGTTTTTTTTTTATAGTATGTTGAGAAAAGTCTCTTGTGGGTATTCTTTACTTGTCACTTTTCAGGATTTAAGAAAGTAATGTAGTTGGTAGGACCTTCAGATCTTTAGATTAAACTGATATGATCTAGAAAGGAATGCTGGATCCTAACTAGCAGGAGAAGGATTTGTTGGGATGAAGATAAGTCTAGTCAAAACCAGAACTGGAAGTGTAGTTTATCACACGTACTTTATTCTTTTAATAAAACACATTTTTGTATTCTTTAGAAAATTGAAGCCCGAGTATCAGCAGATGAAGACCTGAAGCTTTCAGACCTCCTTAAATATTATTTAAGAGAATCACAAGCTGCTAAGGTAACTCTATGGTGCATCATCCCAGGAACTGTGCATTGTAACAGGCATCACATTTAAATGATGGGCTGTTTTTTTGTTTGTAGGATCTCCTCTACAGAAGATCTCGCTCTTTGGTAGATTATGAAAATGCCAATAAAGCATTAGATAAAGCCAGGGCTAAAAACAAGGATGTGTTATCAGCGGAAACCACTCAGCAGCTTTGCTGTCAGAAGTTTGAAAAAATATCTGAATCTGCAAAACAAGGTACATAGGATTTTACACTGATTTCTTTTTTTTTTTTTTCTTTTTTTTTTTGATTTGTTTAGAATACCAAGCTTCCCTAATTGTAATGCTGAAAGAGATAGGGATAGATGTGACAGTATGTAATTTTTTATGTTCTAAATGAGGATTTTTAAATCTATGTATTTACTTATATGAAATATGGGGGCACATAAGTAAATACATAGATTTAAAAATCCTCATTTATAACATAAAAAATTACATACTGTCGTAACCGCTCTGTTACTGTTAGTAATAAAAAAAAAACTTGTGTATTTGTTTTATTGCTACAGTAAAGCTCCAAAATTCATATATTTAGAATTTGTAACCCATTTATGTGCACGTATGTGGAACACATTATAATTATTATTTGTTATATGAAAAAAAGCTGTTAATGCCACTTTAATGGTATGTTTACAAAGCATAAAAGAGAAGTTCATTGTTGGGATTAACCACTTGCCCTCCTGATGATTTACCCCCCTTCCTGACCAGGCCATCTTTTGCGTTACAGCGCTGCGTTACCTTAACTGACAATAACGTGATCATGCAACGCTGCACCCAAATAAAATTTACAGCTTTAGGGCAATCGGGAAGTGGTTAATATATTTTTTTCACTTCAACAACTTCTTTATTCAAAAAAAAATGATCGCTATGTACATCATAAAATCATTACACAAGACAGGGGAAACAATTAGGCCAAGTATACAAAACTGTAGGGTATCTCCAACTAAGGCACAGGTGATCAGCATCCTTAGTAACTATTATATACTCTAGTATGAAAATAGGTTGAGGAATTTGCAGGAACAAGAATCGTAGGTAGTACAATATATGTGATTAACCAGTACAGGACAATAACTTTTAGAAAAAAAAAAAGAAGGGGGCCAATTAATCACAGGTATCTGGTATTTCAAGCCATCTATCCCATACTTTATTGTACTTAGCTGGACAGCCTTTATGTTGGTATATAAGTTTCTTATAGGGGAGGGTGGGGTTCACCTCACGCTTCCAGGAGTCTAACGTGGGGGGTGTTGTCTGCATCCAGACTTGAGCCTTACGAGCTGAGAATAATGTTTCGTGAAGAAACTTGGGTAGTGAGTTGTCTGGATCTGGAAGGAGACCTGGTAAACATACTTTTGGGTCCAGTGTCAGGGGGGATCCTATATGGTCATGTAGAAAGTGGTCAATCTGATTCCAGTAAGTTTGCACAACAGGGCAGGACCAGAGGAGATGGTAGAATGTACACGTGTGAGACATACATAGGAAACATAATGGGCTGTGAGTAGGCTTATAACGGGATATACGGACCAGGCTCTAATATGCCCTATGCAATACATACTGCTGAGTTAAGCAGTCAGAAACCTTGGGGGAGACTAGTTTGTAATTATCGAGTATCTCTTCCCAGTCATCATCCGCAATATCCCCCATGTCCCGTAACCATTTATTTTTAAGTCTTTGGGCTGGTTTTGTGGCACTGGGTGTTAGCAAAGTATTGCATATAGTAGAGATCAATTTTAGTAGGGACCGAGCCCATGATTATATCTAATAGGGGTAGGGAAGCCATGGGAGGGTTAGGTTAGAAAATTGAGCCTGGAAAGCATGCCGCAATTGTATATAGTGAGAGCATGTAATTAGAGAGAATTCGGATTTCAATTCAACAAAGGTTTTTAACCCCAAGGTATGAAACAGCTGGTATAAATAGAGAATTCCGTTGGATGCCCACAGAATAGGGTCCGGAATTTGCAGCAATTCAGGTAATTGGTGATTGAACCATAATGGAGTATGTGTATAGACTAGGGGGCTGCCTAGTTTGACCAGGGCCAACACCTAGACATAACATGCTAAATCGAGTAAATTGATGACCCAGACCCCTGGCCCCCCTAAATTTAACCTGTAAAGGTGTGAGAGCTGGGTGGGCTGGATGGCCGCAGAGCAGGGGTTAATATACTTTTTAAAATAAGCTTGATCTCTTTTTTTTTTTTTTTTTTTTTTTTCTTTTTCTGTTTAAGAACTGAATGATTTCAAAACCAGAAGAGTGGCTGCTTTCCGTAAAAATCTAGTAGAGCTGGCTGAACTGGAACTAAAGCATGCCAAGGTACATTTTATTATAAAAGTTTGTCCGTTTTACTTCTTAAAGCTGTTATAACCCCAAAAGAGCTGTTTATTTGGTAACAATACAGGAACCCTACCAAGGCGAGAAATAATGCAGTGTTACAAAGCTGTCATTTTGCTTACTAATGAGCATGTATACATAGTTAGTCTGGTTAAAAAAAAAAAAAGACAAAAGTCCATCCAGTTCAACCAATAGAAGAAGGAAAAAAAGGTATATTCAATTGTTTAAATACACAATCCTATACCCACAGTTGATCCAGTGGAGGGCAAAAAAAACCCCAATAAAGCATGATTCAATTTGCTGATGCAGGGGAAAAAACTCTTTCCTGATCCACCAAGAGGCTATATATCCGATATACCCTGGATCAACTTTACAAAATATAACTGGATACTAAATATTTATAGGTAAAGTCATGAAAATAGGCTTACGGCGCCGCTCCTAGCTGGACCGAAGGAAGGAAATGACTCCGCCAGCATGAGAGAGAGCGAGCAGCATCCTAAAGCGGTTCCAGTAGCGCCAATATTTAAGAAGGACAGACGCTGCTCGTACCCACCCTGAGAGTTAGATGTATTGAGAATGGCCTCAGCCGCCACTCCGGCCACGCCCTCTGACGGGTTTCACCTTACCCACTAGGGCTTGATCACAGCGGTGCCTCTGGCGGGCGGGGTGAAATGCATAAGAGGGCGTATCTGATGCGTTTCACCCCGCCCACCAGAGGCACCGCTGTGATCCAGCCCCTGTGGGCAAGGCGAAACATGTCAGAGGGCGAGGCCGGAGTGGCGGCTGAGGCCATTCTCAATACATCAGATTTTCAGGGTGGGTACGAGCAGTGACCATCCTCCTTGAATACTGCAGGTGCACAGTAAACATCTTTTGTTAATAGCAGGTGCACAGTAAACATCTTTTGTTAATAGCAGGTGCACAGTAAACATCTTTTGTTAATAGCAGGTGCACAGTAAACATCTTTTGTTAATAGCAGGTGCACAGTAAACATCTTTTGTTAATAGCAGGTGCACAGTAAACATCTTTTGTTAATAGCAGGTGCACAGTAAACATCTTTTGTTAATAGCAGGTGCACAGTAAACATCTTTTGTTAATAGGTGCACAGTAAACATCTTTTGTTAATAGGTGCACAGTAAACCTCTTTTGTTAATAGCAGGTGCACAGTAAACATCTTTTAATAGCAGGTGCACAGTAAACATCTTTTAATAGCAGGTGCACAGTAAACCTCTTTTGTTAATAGCAGGTGCACAGTAAACATTATTTGATAAATATGATCACTAAGTGTTTGAATTTTCTTCTCTCTGCAGGGTAATTTGCAGCTGTTGCAAAGTTGCTTGGCTGTGTTAAATGGCAAACCATAAAGTACTCCGTCCAGATGTTTGAAGTAACCAGACCCTCCTGTGACCTCTAGGAGCTGCCAGTTTTCCATGGACCACTCCATTGGGCATATCTAGCTTGGCAAGGATGAACCCATACCGAAGTTTTGGGCTGCTTCCACCTTGGTAACAGCACTGTGCTGTGGAGCCCACACCTGACGATCCCACGTGTACCTTTATTTAGTCATTGTACACTTTCTAGTACATCACAAAAACTCCCATTTTTTTTTTTTTTTTTTTTTCAAAAGCAGTTAAATGCTGTACTTGTTATGAACTATACTACATGACAATGCCAATCTTATTTACTAGTGTATGTTACTCTTTGATGTTCGGCATTGATGGTTCAAATGGATTTAACATTGCCATTAGTTGTTCACATCGTATACCTTGTCCAGGTTCCATGTAATGATTTTTTTAAGCCTCTGTTTTCTTGATTTACCGAACTCTATTTTTTTTATTAAACATTTTCTTAGATATTTCAGAACGCTCCAATTATCTTTTTAAACTTTAAGTTCCTAAAGCTAATGCATCAGTATGTTTGCCTTAACTTGTAGACTTCTCAAATATTGTAAAATAAACTGTGAATCCAATGATTTTTAATTTATACTGTTACAGTGTTCCTCTTTTAACAAGAACATAAAATATTTCAAAGGTATACTCTTCAAGCGTGGGAAATGAGCATTGGGCAAGGTGAGTGACATACAGCAGCTGCCACAATATGGTGGGCAGCCCAGTTATGTGTGTCTTCAGAATTCTCTAAAAGATAAAAATAGAAAATATTGCTTGACCTACAACACCAAAAATCTTGGTGTGTACTCTTAAGGGCTGGTGTTGAAGAGTTTTTTGTTTTGCTGTGTTTGACTAGTATGGAAGCGTGTAAGGCAGCAGATTTGAATTTACTTTGCCTATGTTGTGTGAATGACTGTTCGGAGCCTGTGTGTTTTGTTTTTTTTTTTTTTTGTTACCTGCTTTGCACTGAAATTCTCTGGACATATTCAGTTCTTATGAGGTCCTTGCCGCTTTTAGGATTAACACATTTTGGAAAATTGTTTTCTGATAATCACCGTAATTTTCCTTTTATGGCATCTCCTCATGTCAATAAATATTTTTAAACAGTGTGCTGGATCCCCTCCTTTTTTTCTTTATACAAGCAAATGTAGTAAACAACGATCCTTCCCTTAGCGGCTGGAGTCAGTCTGTTCCCCTCACAGAAAGAAGTGGTAATGATAGAAGTAACCAGTCCTTTTAAAATAATAAGTTCAATATTGTCTCTGTATAAACGAAGATCAGACGTCATACATCCATCAACTTCCTGTAAATCCAATTTTTTAGTTATCACTAAAAAAAGAAATCTAGTGTAGTATGCTCAATACACCATGCTTCAAATCCTGTCCAATGTGTACACATTTATAATAAATAACCATATGTGCATTCGTTCACCAGTGTTCTTCTTTATCTACTCTTAACCTTCATATACAGTTCTTGGTGTATATCCAATCAGTTATTCTTAGATTTATTTCAGCTCTATGTCTCCTTGTGTCTGATACAACCATTGAACTACCAAACACAAGGAGACACAGAGCTGAAGTCAATCTGAGAATAATTGATTGGATATACACCAAGTATATGAAGGGTAAGGTTAGAACACTGGTGAACAAATACACATATGGTTATTTATTTTAAATGTGAGCACATTGTACAGGATTTGAAGCATGGTGTATTGAGCACACTGCACTATATTATTTTTTTTTTTTTTCGGAGATCACTGTACAGGAAGATTGGATTTACAGGAAAAAGTTGATGGATGTATGACATCTGATCTTCAGTTATACAGACACAATATTGAATGTATTATTTTGAGAGTGCTGGTCACTTCTATCATCTCCTCATGTCAGTCCACTATTGGTAAGTTCTGCTCCCTGATTCCCACAGGATATTTAGCTAATACAAGGAAGTCCATGCTCTCACCCTACTTTTTAATTTCATTGCACTTGTGATGGGGGAATCGCATGGCTGACATGAGATGCCAGGAAAAGGAAGCTATGGTAAATATAAAAAAAAATTATTTTGCAAACTCCTGGCACGCCTTTTGTCAGTGCACTATAGCACATAACCAAATAAATGACATAAGAGGTAGTAAAAAAGCCTATGAATAACACCAAAGGAAACTTTTTTTTTATGAGCCAAGGCTTTGGAGATTACCAGTTTGGTAAAAAAGATCTAGATAGCCCTGTTGCATCAAATTTGTTATGGTGAATAAAGGTCTTTTGAAGTTTTTGACCAACTGGCAGCTTTGCAAAGTATATACTTTTACAGTGTCTTCCCCAGGAGCTGCCATTCCTCTTATTGCATTTACCCATATCTCAGAAGGGGGAGGTAACACACACTGGTAAAGCCTCAGTGTATGCTGATAAGGCTGACCCATGGACTCTGAACATGTTTTAACTGAGACCCTTTTCCAGACATACTTGGAGAAAACCTAGAACCAAATTGACCTTCAGTGAAAAAGCATCCATTTCCCTGAGATGCCGCCATCTCTTTGAAACATTTCTATACTCAAACATAAGAAATGTTAGTCAAAGGTTTTCTGGCTTTAAGCAAAGTATCTATCTTAATTGTACATGTAGAGTACATAGGCAAAGTATTCATAGACCCCAGGTTATAGGTGTGTACCTTCAGGTGATTGGACACTGGCAAAGCTTTTCAGGACATGTCCCCTGGGCACCTTCTCTATACCCTACCCCACTCTGAGTCCATCAGCCCAAGCCCAGCCCTAACGATAGGGAGTTCATTTCTTCCCTATCACTGGAAACTGATAACAGTCACTAGTCTTTCAGGCTGGGGAGAAGTGTTCCAATCCCTCACAGTCCAGGGAACATGGTCACTGGAGGAAGCCAGGTTCCCCATCAACATTCTGGAGCTCAGTGCAGTTCTTTTGTCTTTCTTTTGTTTAGGCATGCAGATAGGAAGGTGTGCTTAGCTGAGAAAACCCCTCCTCACCGCTGAAGACTCTTGGGGTGAATTACATCATTTGCCTATACCTAAAAAACAGGAAGTGACTGAAGAAATGTAAAAAAAAAAAAAAAAAAATTAGAAAAGCGGTAAATGATATATTTTCCTATCTATTTACTAATGCTAGCAGCATAAGGATTAAAAATTTGTCAAAGTTTATTAAGAGAGTGACGTTCTGCTTTATCCTTTGTGAATATTTGGATAGCTTGTATTTCAGATACTTTGTTGCAGGAGGTGGCTTACAAAGGCTTCAAACTGGATTCATAATTCCATGTGTCCTCTTTTTCTCACTTCCAATCTTTCTGTGTCACTACACAGATTAGCAAATCTTTACTGAACCCTCTATAGCACGGGTGTCCAACCCGCGGCCCAGGCAGTGTTGTCAACTGCCAGTAAATGTCCGTTACCGCCATTGTCTGTGCTACCTGGAGATGGATTTTTTTCTTATTGCCTGCTGCTAACAGTTTGCCTCTTAACTGCTGCTGGTAGTTCTAGTGATTGGTTGCCCAGCGTCCTTAGCAACAAACTACATGCTTGCTCCACTCCACAGTCAGAGGAGCAAGTAGACAGAACCAGAGTAAGCAGTTGAGGACCTTGCGCTGCTTGGCTGTGAGTGAGGGAGCTGGGTAAAGATTGACAGAAGGTGTTGCAGCGTGGAGAACAGATGGGGGGGGGGGGGGGGGGAGTTGGTTATTACTCGGATAGGTACATTTATCTATATCCGTGATTGTTAACTTGTGATCTGCCCAACTTTTTCTACTCATCAGCTATCCTTATTGTTGAAGTATTTTATGTGCGGCCCAAAACAATTCCTCTTCTTCCAATGTGGCCCCCAAAGGTTGTACACCCTGGGTCTATAGCCTTCTGGACCAAAGAGTCATTGCACCAAATCCCATAACAGAACATTTCCCTAAGTTTTACTTTAACTTGTTCACAGTTCCCAAACCCAAAAAGGATATCTGACCCATCTTGGATCCCAAATCACTGAATGTCTTCATTCAAGCTCAGAAATTCTGCATGGAATGCACCAGGTCTGTCATTGCCTATCTTCACCATGGGCACTTTCTTTTTTTTAGGCATCAAAGATGCATGCCTACATGTCTCCATCTTTACAGCTCATCAGCATTTCTTACGCTATTTCTGTGGATCCTTTACACTACCAATTCTGGGCCCTTCAGTTTCTCATCTGTACCTCTGGGGTTCATCAAAGTGCTGGCCCATTACTAGCCTTGCTGCGCTATCATGGCATCAGTCATGGGATAATCAGCGAAACACTCAGCGCAGTCGGACGATGTGGACTTGACTGTCCAGACATTACAATGGTTCAGGTGGATTCTGAACCATTAGAAATCATCAGCAGAATGAACTATCTTTTGGAGCATCTGGACATAGCTCAGGCCAGAGTGCTTCTCTCACAGCAGAAACTTCAGACTCCCATTTCAGATCTGAGTTCTGTTCATTCAACGTTCTGCTTTTGAGTTTCTTAGCTGTAATGGTAGTCTGCCTTGAGGCATTTTTATTTGATCAGTTTCACTTCAAAACTCTATAATGCAACTTTTTTATCGTGTGACAAGTCAGTCTGGTATCTAGACAAAGTGATTCATTTTGGCAACAAAGTTGTCCCTGACCTGGTGACTCATGAATGTGTCCCCACAAATGGGGAAGTCCTTTATTTCCATCTTTTGAAAGCTTCTCATGACAGATGCAAGTCTGTTGGACTGACTCCTGTCTGCCTCACTACACCTCCTAGATCTTGCATCTGCCAGCTTCTAGATTTCATTCTGCACGGTTCCCAGTCCTGTGCTCATTTGTACCACTAAAAGCATCTTCTGGCCAGGGTGTTCTACAGGCACCTTTTCCACTCTGTGGACTGTTACACCCTGTCATCATGTCCAGTGGAAATGAGATGAGAGCTGTAAGGGAAGCCCTCTTGTCAACCTGGCATCTACCAGGTATGTGACACTGCCTGATTC